TTTTTCTGTTCTCATTTTCTTCTATTCACAATACTGATGAGAAAGGGATTTCTGCTTGAAGGGATTCGTACTTGGAAGGATTACCATTCTAGGGTATGGTTTGACTAAACATACAACACCCAATATTGAACAGGAAGTAACTCTTATTATAAGATTGACTCTCATTAATTATATTTGGTTGCAAACCATGCAAGTGCCTCATGAACCTTATACCTGGGAGCCAAGTGAACAACCGGCGACTGTGGAAGACAGGCTTTGTAGTGTGTGTGTGTGGCGGGGGGAATATCAGTAGGTCCCTGAAAAGGTTGTGACTGGCTATTTGAATTATTTCACAGATAAACAGAAACATGAAAGGTGCTAAGTTGGAATAAGAAGGAGCTGGGTTGGACTTTGATAAGGTTATTTGATTATAGAAACTAATCTGCAGCAGTATGTGAGAACAATACTTGCTATTCTCCTCGTCCATTTCCCTCCTGGTTCCATATTGAGCCTTGAATTTAGCATCTATCACATCATATCTTAATGCCTCATCTTCTGGGGTGATGCGGAACCAGAAAAAGAGTGTCTAATAAGAGGAGATGATGTTTAAAATTTTTTGTATCATGACTTTGCCTTAAACTATGTTAAACAAAATTATGCAGTAACCTTGCTCCTGTCTCAGTTACCATGATCTCAGAGTAACACTGACCAGGTTGGTGTAATATTTGATAGGAAAATCAAGTACCTCAGCTCTTTGTTCTGGACCCACTTTTGGCTATTGAATTGTTCTTCCATCCTTACTCATTTGGAAGAATTTGTATGAGGGTTCATGTAGATGATCTGAGAAATTTTTTCTGAAGGAGAGATTTCAAATCCTGGGCTTAGCTGCTTATCAAAGAGCCATCCACTGAGAAAAAAAAATGGCAGGAGAGTGGAGACAGATGCAAAGGGAAGCATTTATAGGAGAAGAAAATAACAATCATGAGAACAGGAGCATCACATAAAAGATGAAAGGTATATTTTCAAAGAAAAAAGAAGTAAAAATGTGGAGCTTTGCTTCAATGACACTCAAGAACTGAGACTAAGGAAATACCAGAATATTGTAGCACAGGGAGTAAAATTCAGAGAGCCTTCCTCCATGGGACTATGATATGGCAGAATCCTCCAGGACAGATTGCCTCTCCCTGCCTCCACCATCCTCTCACAGTCTTGGTTCAATTCTAAAGCCTTTTTGTGGAAAATCCAATACTAATTGCTATTTTAATATGATCCTATATATTACACACCAGAATTGCTTGTCCAGAAAGATTTTACCACCACTCAGAGATAGATGGGATTGTTAGTCAGTGAATGGACTGTCAGTGGCAGATGATCAATTATCCCATTTATAATTTTCTTTGCTCCCTTGAAACTGTAGTGATTTTTCCAGACCATCTAATATACAACACATTTGAGTTGGTTTTCCATCTCTATTGTAGAGAATTCCTAATAGATAAAATTTTATCCATCTACTTGTGCACATACAGCTAGCATGTTTGGACACTATATAATAGTTGCTTGAAGAAATTATTATTACCAATTGAGAATTTAGCATACTATTAACGATATACCAGATATACCAGACATCACAGAATAATGGTTATATGCATAGGCTCTAAAGCTTGACTGTTTGCACTCTAATACTTTCTAGTTAGGTTACTGTAGAAAAGTTGATTATCTCCTGTGTCTCAGTTTCCTGTTTGTAAAGTGAGAAAAATAGTTGAATCTACCTCTGATAGTTAAGATCAAAATATATATAGGTTTTAGACCTGACTTATTATAGGCAGCAGCGGAAGACCTCCAGGACCAGCCACCACCATGCCGAGACCACTATCCGCACACATGAAGGTACTGGCAGAGGGACAAAGCCACGCAGGTTCCGGGGCCGAGATCTCCAAGCCTACTTGGATTGGACTCGAGCATCTTCCATCCAGATCCTCCAAATTCCAGCAGGCGGGGGTCACACCCACCACCTGGCCCCCTGGCGCCGTGTAATCCCATCAGCGGCCAAGACTCAGAGACTATAAAATCCAGCTCCCGGAACCGCGCGGCTGCATACGTGGCCGTGCGACATCTTATCAGGACATCTTTTTATGACATCTTATTATCTCATTCCTACTTTGGACAAACTTGCAGGCTATGGAATGTAGCCTGCCCACAGGGCAGAGTCTGGCAAACTCCCCGTGGCGTACCAAATATGCCAAATACCAGTAACAATGATGGGTCTCATTCTCCTAAAGAGCCTTGAATATAACCTCAGGGCTAGGATGAAAGAGACGTTACTGGGGCCTGCTAGAGGCAATCGACGAATAACAGGATGATGAATGAATGAATGAATGAATGAATGGGTGACAGTGCACAAAAGGAGTTAGCTTCACATTCCTACAGTAAATGAGTCATTGATGAACTTACCAGTGTCTATAAACTACCAAAGATCTTATTGAGCAATGGTTTCTGTAACTTTTTAGGGTTATATATAGAATCTCTGCTCTTCCTCCTAAGACGGCCTTTGTCAATATCTGGAAGTTTGCATTTAATTTGAAATATTTCTTCCTCTTGACCTGATCTGTCTGATATGTTCAGGCCTGGCATGATAAGAGTTTTAGTACACTTTATGACTGAGTATTTTTGGACTTTGCCAAAAGGAGTCTCAGATCTTTAATTGAGGGAACCATAATAGTCTCAGTGAAATAAGTGTGATAACAGCTTGATCATGCAAAGCTTTACATGAAGAAAACACCTGCCTGGTGTTAATAAGAAACATGAATTTCAGACAACAGAAAACCAAAGAAAATTACCACAATGACTGTCTTGCTAAAATACCAACAGAGCTCTCTATTTGTGTCATCATATGAAACTTTATTTGGATCACTATGAATGTTAACAGAGAAATTGCTTGGGAGCATGAACTTAACCAGGTGAGGGATTTTAAATACTGCTGTGGCATATGAATCAATAAACTTATTAAGGAAAATTTAAAATAAAGTGAGAAAAATATTTGTTTTATTATGAATCTTTATTATAACAATGACATAAGAATAAATTTCAATTATTTTAGAGGCATACATGTATCAGACATTCATTTTAAAAAATGCACCTACTTTTCATTTCAAGATACACAGCTTCATTTTAAAATTTTGAAAATTATACAGAGCTGGAGAGAGTACAATAGGTAGGGTTCTTGTCTTATCTATGGCCAACCCAACTTCGATTCCTGGCATTCCATATGGTCCCCTGAGCACCACATGAGTAATACCTGAGTGCAGAGCCACAAGTAAACCTTAAGCACCACCAGGTGTGGCTTCAAAACAAAACAAAACAAACAAAAAACCTTTGAAAGTTACAGTAAATTTTCATTTGTATATTCAAGAGAAAATACTTTTTTAAAAAAATATGAGGATCATATTTAGCAGTGCTGAGGACCATAAATCACTCTCAGAATTGCTCAAAAAGTCATGTGATATCTGGGATCAAACCCAAGGCCTAAGACAATATGCTCATCCATTGAAGTTGCATTCCTGGCCTTAAGAGAAAATCTTTAAAATATGAAAAACATTATCCCAAACAACACTGAAAGTATATGATTTTTCCCCTGTAATGATAATATTTAACATATTCTCATGGGAAAAAAGTATTCCATTTCAAAAGTTTGCATTATTTTGTTTTTATTTTGCAGATGAATAAATTGGGGAAAAGGCATCTTACTCTTTTTTTTTTTTTTGATTTTTGGGTCACACCCAGCGATGCACAGGGGTTACTCCTGGTTCTGCACTCAGGAATTACTCCTGGCGGTGCTCAGGGGACCACATGGGATGCTGGGAATCAAACCCGGGTCGGCCGAATGCAAGGCAAACACCCTACCTGCTGTGCTATCGCTCCAGCCCAAGGCATCTTACTCTTAAGTACATGAAAATAACTCACCTAAAAAAGTTATCTGGAATTTCCACCTTTCTGAATTTATTTGCATTTCACTGAAAAGGCCATCAGCTTTCTAATCAGCATTGCGTCCTTCCTTCCCTACATCCACATCACTCTCCTTACTGCTTCTGTTCTTTGATTTTGTATCTCGACTTCCCTCACTCCATCCATGCACCCCCTTCTGAAATGCCCATGTCTTTGTAGCCCATCCATAGGCATCATAGAAATCAAAGATGGACAAAAGATCCACCTACTTCAGTAAGTTTCCCAGTTCTCACTGTGCTTCCTTAACTAGTATGATAGTTTCAGGCATCATAAATCTTTTTATATTTGTTTGAATTTTCTTACTAGACTCTAAAATTCTTAAATACCAAATCTTATACTTCTTTGAAACTTCTCTCAATATATTATTGGATATATATGTGTAGTAAATTCTTAATAAATATTTGACTTTTATTTAATTTTTCAATGGAGCTACTGCTTAATCATCTTATGATATTTATATTCTAATCACGTGATTTGAAATTAACCCTGTAAAATCACATTTTATAATTGAGCTCAGTGTGTCTTTTTTCAATAAGTTTATAAGTCAATTATATCAGTTGACCCAAGCATTGATTTCTATGGCAGTGAAGTCCAATTATATGGCTTTAGGGGTCAAATCAGCTACACATGCCTGATGGGTTCCCTGAACTGAGCATGCATTTAGTTCATACATCAGTATGAAAAACAGGAAGGGGAAATGTTATGTAGTGATTTCTTATCTACAGAATTGCATTAGCATCACCTATTTTGCTAGGAATAATTTCTCACATGACATATATTTATCAGTGATAGTTCCTGTGGTATAGTACATGAAAATGCATTATTATTAATTATAAATGATACTGATTGGGCATATTGTCATTACAAATTTAATTTTTAAGAAACAAATCTCCATGTGACAATGATACTCTTGAGAGGGTGAAAATAATACCTAAGAATTGGTACCAAACCACTGCTTGATTCTTTTGGAATGTTTGTCCATTTTAAATAAGTAACTGCTCTTATTCTATTTTTTTAAGGTGAATTTGGAGAAGTCTGTAGTGGGCGTTTGAAGACACCAGGGAAAAGGGAGATCCCAGTTGCCATAAAAACTTTGAAAGGAGGCCATATGGATCGGCAAAGAAAAGATTTTCTGCGAGAAGCTAGTATCATGGGTCAGTTTGACCACCCCAATATCATTCGCCTAGAAGGTGTTGTCACAAAAAGTAAGTAATTTTCACAATTATATCTTTTATATATTTCATCTACTTTAAAAAAATCTTAATCACAATATCACCATCAGTAAAAGACCAATTTATTCAAATATCACCCCTCAATGTCTTGATACCAGATATGGCACTGGCAGAGTTCGTAATGGTTACCAGGGCTGGAGCCATAGCACAGCAGGTAGGGCATTTGCCTTGCACGCATCCGACCTGGGGTTCAATTCCTGCATCCCTCTCAGAGAGCCTGGCAAGCTACCAAGAGTATCCCGCCTGCGTGGCAGTGCCTGGCAAGCTGCCCATGGTGTATTCGATATGCCAAAAACAGTAACAAGTCTCACAATGGAGATGTGACTGGTGCCGGCTCAAGTAAATCAATGAACAATGGGAGGACAGTACTACAAGTGCTATGTTCTGAGCCATATTGACTCTCAACTTGTCCCTGTGACTAGTTCGGGAAAATGGGAAATGAACAAATGTGATGGAACTTTAAATACGATTACACTTTAGAGCTTGTCCTCTTACAACACTTCTGACCTCATGAGATTTTTGTTTGCTTTGGAGACACACTTGGAGGTGCTCAGGTCTTGCACTGAGTTCAGGGATCACTCCTGATGAAGTCAAAGTATCATACAGGTTACCAGGAATCAAATCTGGGTTGGCTGCATATAAGTCAAGCACCCTACCCTCTGTAACTCTGTACTGTTGCTCAGGTCCCCAATACTCCTGACTTTAACCCAATTGCAACACTAACCAAACTCAATCCCTATGGGGAGAACAGATATGATACTATAGAAAGGAAGAGAACTGAGGCCCACCTGACTTTCCAGTAGTCAGCAGCAAATCCAGCCTTGTGGTGAACCATCTCAGTAATTACTGCAAAATCCTCTACAAAATCTACAGGAGTCAGCTGTAGTCGACATCTTGAGAAAGAAAGGAAGTGTCCAGCTTATTCTAATACAGACACAAAATCATGGGAGAACATTAAATGGTGGTTATTTTAAGTCTCTACATTTTGGATAGTTTACACAGCAATAGATTAACCAAATGGATGGACCCAATGAAAATTTACCACTGGCACTTAAAACTTGTATAGCTTTGGGTTATTTAACATCACTATCCTGTTTTGACATGACTCTGAAATGGGGCCCAAATAATTCTAACTCCATTAATCTAATGTTAGGATTAAATTTGTGCATATATATCATCTATATGATATATATGTGTATAGATATGTATAACATGTAGCATAGTTATATATGATACTATATCACATGAAAACTGTATTGGTATTCTGTACCAGAATATTAGACCTATAGTTTACAACTTCATTCTTAACAACAACTTTTTTCATTTGTTATTGGGTAATATCATTGGTTTATAATATTGTGGCCTTTTAGTGATTTAATATCTTACCTCTTTGTGGTGGTTTTATTGCCACCACTCCAATTAACCAAACAAATTTTATGATCATTATAAGCCCAGGCAAAATATTTTGCCTATATAAGGACCTCTAACCTCTAGTAAGTGACCTAACTGGTGTTCAAACTAAAGTCTAACTCTAAAATCTGTGGACTTTTATTTTTGCCATATAAGAGTGACAAAGTTAACATTCTATATTTCATGTCATATCTGGATTACTTAATATTAAATAGATAACTTAAAATAACATACTTTTTAAAAACTTACTTTTTAAATGAAGAAAATATTAAAGTTGATGAAAGAAGGTATCTTTAAGATATAGAATTCGGAGGGTTTTTTGAGGATAATACAATGGGCAGGGTGCTTACCTTGCATATAGCCAACCAGGGTTTGATCCCTGCACCCCTTAAGGTCACCCAAGAACTGCCAGGAGTGATCCCAAATCACAGAGCCAAGAGTAAGTCCTGAGAACTGCAGAGTGTGCTCACCCACCAAAAAATATAAAATTAGGAAGGTGACCCAAGATGTCACAATATTTAGCTAAGAGTAATATCTAAGAGAAGGACACATCAAGAATAATAGAAGTAACATTGATTTTTTTGTTTTGATTTTTACTTCCTTGTCATTAATTTACATCAGCATTTAAAATTATTCCTTCTGTCATATGTCTGGTAGTAAAAAATTTATAAAATAACTTGAGACATATTTAAATCTTTTAAATTCATGTATGAAATACCTAGAAATAAGTATTTGGCAAAGGTTTGAAATATTTGAAAAAGTTTGAAAGTATTCAAAGGTTTGAAAGTATCAGGTCCTACTTGCTTTTGCTAATTCATATTATGTAAATTTTAAAATGTATCCTGATGTGTTTCACATATCATCATATATATGAAATATATACATATATACATATATTTAAAAGAAAGTTACCTAAAGCCTGTGATATATTAGTGATTATTTTTACCAACTTTTAAGCAATAAACAAAGCAACAGCTTTGCATCTCTAATAATATTATTTCTACATAAACCTAGTGACCTCTATGCAGCCAAATTTATATAATCCATAAATCAGCTTCTTTGTTCCATTTCAGGATTTAAAAAAGGGAGAGGAGTAAGCAAAGAAGAGAATAAATAGATTCTTATATTTCTGAGTGGCAATACCATTATAGATTCATTTGTAAGAGAAATCCCCCAATAGAGACGTGTAGTACTGCCCAGATGATTAGTGGGGATAGGAGAAAATAATTATTCTAGAAAACAGAAGTGGACATATTTATACTGTTATCTTCTGACTCAAGTGCTATGGGATTTTTAGGGGAAAGGCATTAAATAAATGAATGCCTCATTCCCATAAATACATGATAATTGTTCCAAGATTGCCCTTAAGTAGCTAAGAGATAGCTGGCAATTAATGCTCCCTCAGGACTACCATATTGCATAAAAGATAATACTGACAAAGATAAAATGCAGTGTAGGTTTGCACAATCATGTTAGCAGAGTATCCTGGAGTTCTAAGATATAAATGCTCAGACCCTAGTTGAAAGTAATACAAAATGATAGATCAAAATCTTTGTCAGTGCCTTTCATAAATCTGCAATATGCGTATTTCTAATCTCATTGTATAGGCTTCATCTCTGAGAGATACACATTATGAACTTCTTGAAAATACTTTGCTCTTTCGTATTTGAGCATATAACTACTTTCAAACTTGAAAGTTAAAATATTAAAAGGTGCATTATACCCAAGATGTTTCTGATAAAAGTTGAGCTTTTGATTTAGATACCCATCACAATTTCATTAACCTGTTAAGATAAACTTTGTAAAAAGGAGATTAATCAAGAAGGGCCATATGCTTAGCACGTACTATTATTTCAAGAAGCAAATAGAAACTATCAATAGAGAACAAATTTCTAACCTTTAATAAGATAGCTAGTCGCAATTTATAACAGATAACGCATATGTCAGTGTCACTATCTACAAATTCTAAAGTGAAAGTACTACCACTTTTCTATAGAAAAGAAAAATAATTGGAGCTTCATAATAACTAAATACAGTGCAGTGACCACATCCCAGGAAATTGAGTCTCTAATGTTTGAATTCAAGATGATTGAATAAGTAATACTAAATAAGTATAAGTAATACTAAATACATAAAAGTAATACTAAATAAGTAGAAGTAATGAAATAAGAAAAAGATTAAGTAATGAAATGCCTGTTACCCAACTTAATAGTTAACAACTAAATGTGAACGTACATGTCATGTCTTAAATAAATTATTTACTGAGTAGTAAAAGCTAATAAGAACAGCAGATATATCACCAAAATAATTTAATTTGGAACTGAGGATGTAGTACAAGTAAGTGGAAGAATTCATGCTTTGACATATGCAAGACCCTTAGTTTGCCACCTGACATAAGTATTGCATCTCCACCAGTACCTGCTTGATATAGTCCTGTCAATATTTTTTAATTCATTTCTTTATAGGTCATTTAAAAATATGCTATGAAAAATAGAAGTTCTCAAAGAAATTGCTGAAGTTTTCAAACCCTCTTTAAATACTGTACAGTTCAGGTTCCCAGGTACTGGAAGTTAAGAATAAATTCAAGCCAGTCAAATACATGGTACAGTAAATGGAAACAAATTAAGTCTTGGTCCCCAAACTGGGCTTGAATTAGTCATTCAGCATCTTTACCTCTATTTTATTTTCTATATGAAAGATCAGAAAGAATAAATTGAACTGGATTTTTTTTAAAAAAGTTCAAATCTAGCATTTTTTTTAATTTCATGACTTTGGCAAAAGAAGAGATGTTGGTGAGGATAATCTGTGCCAATGGTAATTTATCATCAATCTCATCTTTTTCACTTTAGGTCAGTACTCCAAGAAGGAAAGAGAGGTTCAAATAGGGGAAAAAAGACTGTTAAAACACAAGCCTTGGGGCTGGATCAGCAGTACAGCGGGTAGGGCGTTTGCCTCGCATGGGGCAGACCTGACTTCAGTTCCCAGCACCTGTATGGTCCCCCAAGCACAGCCAGGAGTAATTCATGAGTACAAAGCCAGGAGCAACTCCTGCGTATTGCCAGATGTGACCCAAAAAGAAAAAAAAAAGCACAAGCCTCACTGAAGGTGAAGCTTATATCTTAACAATCTGGAAACTAGAATATCTTAGAAAATATTGTCTTCTGAGCAATATGAGGTATTGGTATAGAGAATACATATTGCAGGGCTTAAAATAGTCTGCAAAGTGGTTTTCATGAAAGAATTAGATGATTGTTCTTTTCTGGAGTTTAGGTTCTTTGCAAGCTAAGGAAGATTAAGTATTTTGTTTTGTTTTCCAAAAACACTTAATGAGCATCACAAGGTTCGTATGCTTTGCTGATTAAAAACCTAGAGACAAAAGTCCTTGGTGCCCTTGAAGTCACTCATTTGTTTCTCACCATAGACAGTCCAGTAGCAGGCAAGTATTTCCCAACATGCTATGGTACTTGCTGATTGAGGTATGATTATTTAGTAACTTATTCTTTTAGTAACTTATTCTTTTATTCAGTCATCAAATCTGTTTTGTGTACCCATTCTTCTAATTA